TATCGGTCGAAGGAAATGCAGAGAGCGGGCAGAACAGAAATCGAAAAACAATTTACAATAATTGCTTAATTGAAACGCCAGGGCCACTGTAGAATTTAAATTTATGAAAGCATCAGACCCCAAATCGAACAAAATCATAAATAAATCGCGGGCTTATCAGCGTTTTTTGTTGCTGGCACTTTGTGGCATTTCAAAGTGAAAATGCCGCCCTACCCTAAAAAGTTTGAAAGTGGACAGCACATGACTCTTGATACCGATCCGAGTTTCGATTCCTAGCTGACAGATGAACTTTGTACTCCACATATCAACCGTCTTGGTCTGACAGCTTTCATGTTTTGTTGGCTTCCAAAATTTAGGAATATTTTAAGAGCTAGGTTTCTCCGATAAGCACATTTCAATATTCTATATTGAAATTGTCATGCAACTTTCTGTTGATTTCCTTTTACAGAACATACTAGGTATTGAAAATAAATCTCAACCAATTTTTCTTTGCATAATTTGTATTTGTGATTGACAGACAAACAACTTGGGTATCAAACTGCTGCACTGAAGAAAAGAAATTTTATAACAAATTTGGTAATTAAAATGATTTATAGATTTTTGTTGTTAACTTTATGCATCTCAATCTTGCTGCACATAACATTTATTTTTCTTTGTATTAAGTGGGAGAACTCTTAAATTTAATTTTTTTCTGTGCAGCCTATAGGTAGAAGTAAAGTTTCCCCATTAGCATTTTCATGCCACATATGGCTGGCAAATGTAGGAACAACAGTCAGTCAACTCCACTCCACTCAACTCAACTAAACTCGACTCAAAGGCAGACAATAGGCCTGCGGGACATGCGACAGCGCCTATGTGTTTTCGAACTTCCCCCGATGTTTTATACGACTTTTTCGTAGGCGTAACATGTGTGGCATAAACAAAGATACAAAACGGACGGAAAATATCAACCGATATTCGCTTGTACATGTACTATACATGCCAGTATGCAAAAGTCCGAGGGAAGGCGTGAAACTGTTGATAGTCTATTGCACTTTTTTCTTCTTTCTGTTTGTGTTATTCTTTTTTATAGCTATGCAATAAAAATATTTACGATGCCAAAGCGCCAAATATGTAGGGAAATTGTTCGAAACAAGGGTGGGGTCGTTGTGGGGGGTAGGGACAACCGGAGGGTTAATAAAATGTTGCACTTGTAACAAGAAATTGAAGTTGCAAAAGTTGGTTGCGGAAATTTATTTCACTTTTATTTTAAACGCTGATGGAAAAAGATTTTGTTAGGCGATAAAACTGAAAAACTGATTTGAAATTTAGTAATAAAAACTTGTGTAGTTGGGTTTCGTTTCGTTGTGGGTTTAACTTTCAAAAATGAGCCAAAGTAGAAGTTATGGATTTAAATATAGAGTTTCTATTTTTACTTATAAATTTATTTGGTTTATTTTGTACAAGTTTTCTGCATAATATAGTTTATTATTTTGCTTCTTTTAAATTTTAACTTCTGCCTTAAGTTCAACATTTTCGGGCTTAATTCTTTGGTCAGCTTTGATTTCCCCCTGGTCACAGTACAAGGAAATCAAATGAGCTGAACAAGAGAAAAAATGTAAATGAGCAGAGTCGAATAAGGAAAGTTTTGAAGGGGATGTGCTGCAGAGGAAGTGGGAACCAATGAACTCTTGGTATGCTGCAGATGCAACTGCATTCTGAATTCACCATTCTCCATTCTGCACTCCGCAGTCGCTTTCAAAATAACTCGGCCCACACGATTTCCCCGACCTCCTCCCAACACCCAGGTTTTCCACGATTTTCCACCCACCTCCCAGTGTAAAGTGCAGGCGGCTGGCTGCAATCAACGCACTTGTTCCTGTTTTTCTTTCCTTCTCAGGGAAACGCTGCTGCCGCTGCTTCTGATTCCCTGTTATTGTTGTAAACTATTTATGCATTTCGAAGTTTATTTGAAACACGAACAGCAACACACAGGAATTCCCTGCATGGCATTTCAAATGTTGTTCGAGATTCCCATTGCTATTCCTATTCCTATTTGGCTTTTCCCTAGAAGATGTGGATCTTTGTTCAGCTTCTCCTGCTGCTGCTGCTGCTGTTTGTTGATTTTATGAACTGTTTTTCTTGCTTCACTTGCTCTCAGTCGGGTGCCCCCTGGCCACATATGGTCACCTTAATTTTCCAGAGGTGGCTGAGGAATGGGGGTATTTTCTTTTCCCTTTTTTTTGTTGTTGCATCAAATAATTTATGCCTTTTTCCCTGGGCTCTTGGTTTATTTTTTCAAGCGCATTTCAACAGCCAAAGCAATCAGCGCGTGTTTTTCGGGCAGGAAACAGCACGAAGGGATGTCGGATGATGTGTGCCACTCCACTCCAAGCCCCTCCACCCCCCACTTCCCACTCAACGGGTGGTTCCACTGTAGCTGCACGATGCGTGATCCGCCTTAGGTGGATATCCACTGTTGTTTACACTAACGCCATGGCCGACGTGCCACAAAAGTTGAGTTCAATCGAATAGAATCGAATCAGGGGCAATTCGAGCCAACCGTAAGGTGCAAACTGATTTGGGCAAACGATTTGGTTTAACCGGAGTTCAAGTTGCCGTGAAACAGAAATTCAGTTAGCATCATTGTCTGCTCATGTCTTATATAACATTATCGAGACCCATTTGGTTTATTCTTGTGAGAATTTCTGATAGCCTCTAAAAGGGCACTTTTAAGAAATAAGAAATATTTTTGGTAGGTATTTACTTCTTTGAATAACGAACTTGAGAATCTTAAACTGCTATTCATTTAAGATCCAAGTACTAAAAGGATATTACAATATTCCGGTATTTATATATATTATTGATTTGGTAAATTAAAAAAAAGATAAATAATCAATTCAAATTGTATAGTCCTGAAATTACACATATAAAATGTAGGCATACCTAAGCCTTAATCATTATTAAAATCAGGGAATCAAGGAACCATGACAAACAATATATCTATCACACAACACATTTGTTACTCATAAGCATTTCTATAATTTCCCAACAATAAATATCATAACAATTTATGTATCCAATCCCTAGCCAAGTGAAACCCATCTCCAAGCAGCACTGGCATTTCTAATGAACTCTGCCTGAGGCTACACGGAATATATACACATTTTACCCACGAGCAGGCAACGAGAATATGAAAATATCTTTAGAACATTGATTGACTGCTCGACATGATCGACGTGATCAATGCGAGGGAGTGGCGTACAGGGGGAAAATCTAGGGGAAAAGATATCTGCCTGGCTGCCGTCTACAATTATAATTCAATTAACCGAATAATTCCATCTTTCTCTAGCGCAGTCGAGCGCCACATGCTGCGATAGGAGACGTTGCATGTTTGGCATATTAAATTAGTTATTTGTAATTTTAAGCAAACGCATTGTAAACAAAAAACAGAAAAGGCACACGAAGATCGAGCGAACGAACGGATTGAGAATGATGATGTGTCATTGCAGTATGTTTGCCCATCTGGCTGAATCAATGTTTGTATTTATGGAAATATTCTCATGTTTTAATTACGAGAACATTTCGAAATGTCTCGCATAACAAATGAGCCTCGGAACAAACGAAAATAAAACAACAGTGTCTGGAGAGAGAAAAAAAACAAAAAGCAAACCATATCAACAAAAAGCTTCGACAGTTGGCCAGACAAGTTGAGACGACGAAAGAGACGACTGTAGAGTGGCAGAAAGAGACGGACAGATGCTAACTAGACTGCAAGGCTTACCAGGATATTTTGCATTAAAGCCGGCAAAGGAAATATGAGAGAATGATGGATAGGCAAAGCAGGGAACCAGATGATGATGACGACGGAAGATGGAGTCGAGCTGAAGAACTTGGCAACTCAACTGCCGGCAAAAGCAGAAAGAAGTCAACAGCTCGTTAACGTTAAAGTGGCAAAAGATATGCCAGCAGATTCAGTTCTCTCTTTCCCGGTCTCTCTACCACATTCTCATATTCTCTGCTGAAAAGGGTAAGCCAACAATGGGGCAACAAGTCGCGTCTGAAGATGCATCGCCCACGGCAGCCGAAACCAGAAAACCAGGCTCAAACCAAAAGAATAGTCCTACACCGAGGAAAACTATAATAAGTAAGGTTTAATTAAGTTCCAACTGAATTATCTCCTTAGTTAATAAATTGTACAATGGAAAATGCTAGGAAGTTTGTAATAAAAATGTATCAATAAATAATCAAACAAGTTGTGGCTATAGAAAATCATTTCTTAAAGGAGTTGAACTACATACTTCAAAGAATTCATTTTAATAAGAAGTTTTTCTAAATCATCTCGTAAGTGAGCTAAATATATAGTTATTCGAAAAAATCTAGAAAGTAAGTGATATCAATTTTTAAAGAGTTTCTTAATTTGTTAAGTATTTTTTCAAAATAACTTATAGATGTAAAGCTTATTTTTATTTTTCTCTGTGCACCAGGAGTTGGCTCGTTTTGAAGAGTAAAATTGGCGTTGAAAAGTAACTGCCGACAACCGCAGACGAAGACGATGTTTATGATGCCGATGGATGCTGGATGCTGACTACTAGGAGATTCATGCTTCTTGGCTCCTTGGTCAATTGCACTGCCCGGGTCACACAGACGGCCATGGCATTTTTCTCTCCATTGTGCGGCAAACTAGGCGCAATGAAGTAGCCAAGGGGCCAAGTGTTGGTGGGGAAAGGTCAAGTTTTCTGGCCTCTTATTTATTTTCACTTCTAGCTGATGTCTTCTTGTATGCAAAATTGTAAGGAACAGGAATTTACAGAGCAGAAGAGTCTATAAATTGTAACCAAACTAATATTTTGCAACGAAATGGTGATTTAACAACTTATAAAACTTACAAAATTAAAAACACTACACGGTCAATTCCCAGTCCAGAAATTATATTAAAATATCAATAAGAAATTATTAATTATAACAGCCAAAGAAATATTTGTAAAATTTCTAAGCTATAAATTTCGCTTTCAACTTACCATTTTTTCCATTCCGTTGGTTTAGCTGCTTTCTGGTTGATTTCCTGCTTCATACAATTCCGACCAGCTGTAATGAGATGCAAAAAGAGATACGAAAAGGCTGATAAGTTATCTGATATCTGATGATTTTAGATGCAGCTATAAAAACTTAAAATAAGCAACTTCCATAAAACGAAATCCCCGAGCGGAGATTTCGAGAATCGCTAAATCTTGCTAATCGTAAAAGGGGTCGTAAAAAAATGTTTATAAATCTTGTATAATTAGAAAATATTAAAGGCCAAATAACTTAATTATGCAATAAGCATAAAACTGGATTTATGCCCGAAAATCTGCTGGAAAAAAAGGGACTTGGCGACATAATTTACAGTCTGTCCGAAGGGGAAAAGAGTTTGCCACAATTTGCGGCATGAGTTATGTTCTGGGCAAATATGTTAATATTTGGACAATAAATTTGTGGGCGGCTAAAGAACAATTGCAGTTGTCTCTGCGGCAGCACTTCAAAAGCGGAGAAACCACGAAAGAAAAACAGAGGAGCAGAAGCAGCTTCCAAAAAGCAAACAGGAAAAGCCAGCAAAGAAAAGGGGGAAAAGCGTGGAAAATGGCCGGGGAGTTTTATCCCTGGGCCCAGCCGAAAGTGGACTACTTTAATCACGCCACGGGATTAAGGGGCCAGACATTCGCCGGATGATGAAGAAGTTGCGTGTGTGCCAATGAAAGAAGCAGCCACTCACTCGCTTACAATTTAATTAACTTTTTTCACTCCCTCTCGGTTTTTGTATTTCTTTTTTTCTTATTAAAGAACGCGCCTTGTTGTTATTTGCTTTAACGGCACTCTTTGTACATATATTTATGTGTATATATAATGCAAGTTTAATCAGCCAGCGACAAATAAAAAGCCGTAGAAGAGGTTCCCTCCGTATCCGCATCCATATCTGTTTGTGTATCTGTATCTGTATCTGTATCTGTGTCTGTAAATGTATCTGAAGCTGAAAACTGCCCGTGTGGGAGTGCCGCCAAAGATTTGCCTAACCAAACCGAGCCAAGAGAACCCAGATAAGTCGGAGGAGCAACAATGCATAGCATTTGTGGGCCCACAATTTGCCGCCTTTGATTTATCACCTCGCACCACCTCCGCCCCCTCACAATTTGCCAGGTGTAATCTCTGCTGTAACCAATTGCAGATAAAGTTAAGCAAACGACAACAAAATGACAATTTTTTAATTATGAACGTCTGCCTCTGGCTTTTGCGTTCTTTGTTTTTCTGGCTTGCTTAATTGAGATAGGACACGAGATCATTGCGAAATGGGGAGCGAAGATGAAGTGTTTCATCCGTAATTGAATTCTTTGGTTGGCAGGGGTATTACCCACTTTTAAAATGTGTTTCTTTGTAATTAATATGGCCGAGAATGAAAAAAATTGCTTACGGCTTATAACTTTTAATTTATGTTTTCAAATTGTAACCATGGCCTAAGGAAACCTCATTTATAACTAAATTTTAAGTTTAAAAAATAAATGGTTTATATGCTGATAAAACTTATTCAAGTTTTTACGAAAATTAGACAATTAAGATTCATAATTCATTTTTGACACTTCCCAAAACTTCATTTAATGCGCAGTTTTGTGTTGTTTAAATTCTTTATAAAAGCCAACTTGTCATTATAAATCTCTTGCCATAGAAATCTGAGAAATTATTCTTTATTCAATTTCCAAGCTTGAACAAATCAAATTCCAAGAAAAGCTCAATTTGAATGTGAACCCAAAGTTATAAATCTGCGACACACAAATACATTTCCATAAAAATCTTTGAAACTCAAGCAAAAACAAAAAAAGAACAACCTGCTAACACAAAATGGAGAATCTCCAAGCTCTTTCGAGCTCTCAAGACTCGTTTGATTCGCTTTTCTGTTTCTGACTAATTAACTGGGAAAGATTTTGAGTGGAGGAATTGGAATTTGTAGGCCAATTAATTAGGCGCATAATTTATGGCAAAATATTCTCACTGTCTCGCTCTTTCCTTCACTCCGTCGAATGTCAACATGATGATCAATAAAAATAAAAGGGGCAATAACAGGGAGGGGCGAAACGTATCAGTTTCGAAAATGTTTAATTTATGACATTGCAAAAAAGCAGAAAACAAATTTATGAGCGAGCATTTAAATGCCCAACACGACGGCGAGCGACGACAATAAATATGTATTGTGTGGAGTATCGTTTTTTGAAAATTGAAATTCCAATGAATCTCAAGGAGCAGAGGCAGAGGCACCCCTTCTTAGTTCTCGAATCTCTCCTCCGCTCGGAGGAAAGCAAATATCGCCATCGTCATTGCCGTCGCAGGAAACAACAGTCAGTCGCAGGCGCAGACCTTAAACAAACAGAAATTAATTATGTTTCGATGCGAGAGCCCAAAAAGATACTCAAGTACAGAGAGAAAAAGGATATCCTAGCATTAATATAATATAAAACTTGAGATTTAATATGCTTTTCATTTAACTATTTTTATACCCTTGCAGAGGGTATTATAATTTCAGTCAGAAGTTTGCAACGCAGTGAAGGAGACATCTCCGACCCTATAAAGTATATATATTCTTGATCAGCATCACTAGGCGAGTCGATCTAGCCATGTCCGTCTGTCCGTCTGTCCGTCCGTCTGTCCGTCTGTCCGTCTGTCCGTCCGTTTATATGCAAACTAGTCTCTCAGTTTTAAAGCTATCTGCATGAAACTTTCCCAAAAGTTGTCTTTCTATTGCAGGTAGTATATAAGTCGGAACGAGCCGGATCGGACGACTATAGCATATAGCTCCCATAGGAACAATCGGAAAAATAAATGAAAAAAAATTATAACTTTGCTGTTTTTTAATTTTTTGTTTAGTTCTTCGACATATGGCAATGTTTAATTATTTCAGAATTATGGTTTAAATTTTATCAAAATCGGACGTCTATATCATATAGCTCCCATAGAACTAATAAAAATATATAAAATAACTATCTAATAATTGAGCTGCAAATCATCATAGCTTCACTGTTTTTCAGTATATACTGAAGTAAATCATAATTTAAATGTTTTCAAAAGTATTTAATTCATGCAATAGCTGCAAGGGTATATGAACTTCGGCTTGCCGAAGTTTGCTTTCTTTCTTGTTTCATAAGAAAATCTTTAGTAAAATAAAAAAGTGAACTTTTTAAATATGGGTTATTATACACCATGTTAATAAGGGCTTGTAAAACCAAAAATAAAAATATACCTATATGAAAACAGTACAACTAAATTCTTTATGTATATTGTGACAAAAAATTTAAAATTTAAGCGTTTGGACTTTAAAATTTCTCCATGTGTAAATTCAAGAGAGGTGGTGCTAAAGGAAGACACCGAGATACAAGAGAACCTGCTGCTGGCTGCTGAAAATAAAATTATTTTGTTCTGAGTTCTGTTTATAAGAAAAATATGTTTTTGTTTGTTTTAACGCGAGCCGAGCGCTTCCTTTTCACTTGGAATGGACTGAGAGCGAAGCATGTGCATGTAGATGCAACCCAGAGATGCGTATCTGTTGGATACATGCAACAGAGACTTCAGTTGTGGCTTCTATTTTTGGGACCTATTTCAATTAATTTGCTTTGCTACCTCTAAACAAAGTTGCTGCTGCTAGAGACCAGACGAGATATTTATGAGTAATATTGCATGCTCGACTGCAGCCACAGATTTTTCTCTGCCTTTTAATTAGCTTGACATTTATTTCGTGCCGGACTTCTTCGTTGCCGTCTGTCTGCGGTTTTTTAGGGTTAACAGCGCGTAGATTGATATCTTCAAGTTCATTAGAGTTGCAAGTCGCTTTAATTGGAAATATGCACAACGGGCCGAGGAAGCGGTAGAAAAACGCTCCAGTCGTCGTGCAACACTTGGGTGAGAATTAATGATGCCTGCCCATCCCATCGCCCTTCCTTCCTCGGGATCTCGATCTGAATTCTGTTTAAACTTGGGCATTTTTATACACTCAACTCAACTTGGGTCTGCCTGCTCCTTGCCTTTCTTTCTTCGTTTCTTTTTTTGTGGTTTCAGTGGTGCCCCTTTCGCTTTGCATCCTCCTCGACTGGTTCTGTATATCTTTGGGCTTTTGTTAACTGATTTCAAGGGAAGCTCCCGCCAGAAACGGCCGCCCTCCTACAGGGTCGATTTAATTAACTGCTTTCTATATAAGGCATATTAAATAAGTTTCATCTGGGCTTGTTTTTGTTTGATTCTTGGGGGGAATGAGTGATCAAAAGGATGTGTTGAGCGAAACTTTCTAAGAAGACCAGAAAATCGTATTCAATCTGAGGAATTCGCATGGTCTGTGTTAATTAACTTGTGAGTCATTTCGATTGGAATGCATTTCATGAGATTTTTAACAATTGAATGAAAGTTCAAGTTATAATATTATACTTTTTTTATACAGTTAAATATGTTTATGTATATTAAACTATTTACATTATATTTTAAAAATACTTTATTAGGGTTAAAACGTATCTGCATTTTAAATTATTATTATACCAACTCATAAATATGTTTTAAACTTTTATTAACCTTAAAGCTATTAAATTGAGAAACTTTAGAAAACTCTGAAAATTCTTTGACCTTTTGGTAACCATCAATTTTTAATGATCCCCAAAGATAATTTCCATTTAAATTTTCCACTTGTTGCGGCGGTTCCCCTGCCCGTTTAATTTTCCCAACACCTACACTCGCCCGCATGTCTTGTTAATTTTCATTTTTAATGGGAATTTTCATTTTAGAACTGTTCGTTTGTGAACTATTTGTTCCTTGGGATTGGGGACTGGGGACTGGCGACTGGTTCGTATAACAAACAAAATTAACACCTAGTCGCTACATTTCCAGCTAAAAGCCACACACATGGCAGCTGGAAAATATCCCCCCACATCCCGTCATAAGTCAGGGCTCTAACAAGGTGTCGTCTTGCTAAATGAATTAGACTCGAAGCGAAACTGATGCCCGACGAAAGAAAAAATTCCATAAATATGTGTTTCTATTTCCAATTCTCCCACACGTCTGAGTAGGCCATTGGATTTACAACC